TGATAAAGTTTATTAGTTTTTCAAGATCAACATAGCTCAACTGTTGATAAAAAAAAGATCATTATAAACAACACACTGGAATCATTGAGTTGAATATATCCTACACTAATACAAGAGTTTATTCACTTCACGTTTTATGGCTTGTCATATATGTGCAGAAACTAAATTAATTGTTAAGCAAAAGATAACAAAAGAAGTATATTATCTATTATAATAATATTTTCCATTTCAATTGTTTTGTTTTATGAAATTGAAGTGACTTGTATCTTGTTGCTGAAACTTTCTTATTTCCAATACTTCACATATTATCTTTCGATTTCTATTTATTTAGATCAATTTTACTGGCTAATGATTATTCAACACATTTATATTATTCGGATGTTGATCTATTATCTTCATCATCAGATTTAATAGATTTATTTGTTCGTATTCATTCAAATATGAATCAATCTGATGAATTTTATGGTCTAGATAAATGTTTTCAAAATCGTCCAAGTCTATATGGAGAATTTAATCAATTAAATAATAATTATTATGATTCATTATTTTATTATGATCAAGCAGCATCAACAATAGATTCATCAAAATTAATGCAATCATTACGTTTATGTGGATTTAATCATATACTTGAACAATATTTACATCAAATTTCATCATTATCCGATCAAATATTTTATCGTATTCAATTAACATCATTATTAACTGGACAAAATAAATTAACACAATGGAAAATACATAAAGAACAATCATCTAATCATATTCGAGAAAATATTTTATCAATAATACAACGACAAATACGTATTCCATCATCATTAATACCACAATTAATTGATCATAATTTATGGTCAAATGTTTCTGATTTACGTGAATGTTCTTTGATTAATATTATTGATGATATTACAATGAATTATCAAAATATTGAAATATTATCTAAAATTTGGATGAATCAATTTCATAATGAAATAAGAGAAGATATGTTCGATCAAAATGATGAAATTTTATTAACACGTGTAGCTATAACACATAAATTATTATTACATAATATTAATGAAGATAGAGAAAATCGAAATATCAAACAAATACTTTTAGCAGATCTTGTTACACAATTATGTCAAAATGCATTGGATTCAAAAAAGCTTCAAGTAAATCAATTTTGTTTAGTCACTTTTTTGTTTCTTTTAAGATTCTGAAGAACTTCTAGTTTGTACGAAGATAGAATAGTCGTCTTAAAATATAACATATCATACTGAAAATTTTTATAACTTTACCTTTTATTTTCGTCAAACCTTTTTACTCAATGTTCAGTATGTAGTTAGTAAGTAAATAAGTAATACCCATTATCGTTTCCGGTATAGAGTGAGAAACAATAAAAACAAATAAAAGGAAAGAAAAAGAAAACTATACGTGTAC